GTACAACCAATCCAGCCAAAACAAACAATTCTACCTTTAAAAAAGTATGAGATCCTAGTACAAATAATTGAAAAAATTCTAAAAGTTTATTTTAAAAACTTGAAGAAGTTCTTTTTATAGCTTCCAATTAAGAAATGTAATTGCATTTGCAGCTTCACTTTGCTATGAATCTTAATTTTCATAGTTCAAATGCTGTTAGAGAATTGGCAGGGGAGTGTTTTTAAGGGGCGCCGCATTTGACATATCTGCCCCAGGCCCCACAAACCCTAGGGCAGACTCTGCATGGCGCCTTCAGAACATACGCGGAGGTTTTCAGGAGACTTGACTGTCTTATCTAGAAGCCTTCATGAGAGATGTTCCCTCGTCGACGAAACTGCGAGTACCTTCAGATGCTATGGCAACCCGGAGCTTTTCGAAGTCAACGCGGATAATTACGGACTTGAGACAGTCATCCGTAAAGCTCCGTTATCTCCTGGCGGAAGTGTATAAGATATTATTTGTTTTCCGCTATATGTTACCATGGTTGTATGAATTTTGTTTCTTGCTTGCTGGCTGTTTTGAAAAGGTTACATGGGAGATGAGTGAAACTGTGCGAGTGCCGGAGTTGATATGGGATACCCTGTGCCAGGTATCTGGGTCCTGTTTCGTGTGTGGTTTGAGTGGTGACATCAATGTTGATTCTGGAAGCTGTGTTCTTCCTTCTTCTGGCGTTTCGGTTCAAGAGAAGTTTAACCAACTCTCGTGCCGACGAGTGGATGGAAAGCCACTGAGCACAGACCGTTCGAATGGGTAAGTTTGTTCGCACTTTTCTGGGTGTAGTTTTCGGCTTTAATTTATTTTCCTTCATGACAGAGAGAGGGAAACGTTACGCCCGGTTTGCTTCTCTTGCTCTGGACTTCTCAACCTCATTGACACCCTCGACGTGCACTTGACTAAGCGCACTGAACAGTTGTGGAGTCTGCATGATGTTGTGCGACTTCCAGTTGAAGCAGAAGAAGTGAGTGGTCACATCGATTTTCGCGAGGAGGAACCTACGAAGCTGCTGCCTGAATCGTCTGCCGGAAAGCACCGAGTCAAATTTCCGGAAAACAACCGTGGAAGTCATGAATCTTCAGGAAATGGTTTTTGTAACGATGTACCTGATAGTGGTCGACGACGAACTCGCGCAAGTCACCGAGTATCCGATGATACTGCAAAGACACCGGCAAAACGTCCAAGAGGTCGTCCTAAGAAGGATAACCAAAAGTCGAATTCCCCTCTGAACGTTAATGAGTACGTTTGCGAAATTAGGAAAATCCGAGAAGTGGCATCTTGCAAAGCTGCGGTCATGAATGAGCCTTTATTACTGAAGACTTCCAAGACGACCACACGTATAGTTCCTTCCAATCATGACCAAGAGATCAATACTATTTTTGGTCTAACATTGGATCCCACTGCTCATAAATCTAAAGCAAAAAGCCTACCAGGACTCAGCATGTGGTTCAATTTCCGGTGCCGGATTTGTGCCGCAGACGCAACAAATGCGGAAGAGTTTGTTGCACATCACGCATCAAATCACTCTACAGTTTCTTTGTTCAAGTGTCACTTTTGTTTCGCGAACTTCGACCATGCTGAAGATTTTCAAAACCATGTTTACTATGAAGAGCTTCGGAAAACGTGTAGGAAAGAATTTGTTTGCAAATCGTGCAATGAGGATTTCATGAATCCCCGTCGACTTAGCGAGCACTTCCGAAAAGTGCATGCATTGCTCGGTCAGCAAAAGGAAAATTCAGGTAATGCCACGAATCTCAGTTGGAGCCCATTCCGATGTGATGCATGTCCAGATGTTCTGATCGACTCGTTTGAAAATTATATTCTGCATCGAACCGGTGAATATGAGGGGCATTCGGCTCCTGAATTTCTTGAAGAATTCAGGTGTGTTTTGGAACCAGGTTGTGGCTTCCAAGGTTCTTCGGCGGAAGATCTTGCTGAGCATGCTTTACATGAGCATAAAAACAAGTTTCCATTCATATGCCCGCGTTGTCAGTGTGAGTGTCTTTCATGAAATACGTTCAAAAAGTTTATGTTGGATTACAAATGTTCGCTGTAGCCTTGATATTTGCAAGTAATCCTGCACATCGCAAACTAAACTCCATCACCCTCGAAATTTAGAAATTTTGACGTTGTGTCACAGGCACCTGAGTCAACTATAGGAGCAGAAAAGCTGCAATACTGTTTGTGAAACTAAATTCATTTTCAACTTCAACCCTTTTCACGTTTTGGACACCTAGTTTGAATGTCATCATCTTGAGGCCTTGAAGAAACTGATACATTTTTTCCATCATAGGTGAGAAACCTACGTGGAAGCGAATTGCAAGGCACACGCTTGAGCTGGAATTCAATCCAAATCGCATATGTGATGAATGTGGACTCTTCTTCAAAACAGGCGACTATGGTTGTCTTCTTGGCGAATCTTTAGTCGTAGAAATACTGATTTGTCTGTTCTTTCAGCGGAATGGCACATGAACGAAGTTCATTTCAAGTGTTCACCATACGTTTGCACAACGTGTGCGAAGTCGTATCCTTCGAAGTTGCAGTTGAGGTTGCATATGGAGTATCACAAACCAAAAGCAGAAAAGCTTTGTCCTATTTGTGGCAAATCCGTGAAAGGGTTTCTAGCGTATCACGTGTCTGCTGTTCACAACCGAGAGAAGAGATTAAAATGTGATCTGTGTGACGAAAGATTCATGCATTACAGCGCAAAGAAAAAACACCTGGCTCGAGTGCACGATGTGAGAGGTAAGTGTCAATGATTTTTTCAATCGCGAACCCTTTTACTAAGAACTGTATATGTTTTTTGTTATTTTGCATTTGGTATCCTAGTTGATAGGTTCGTCAACACCTGTGAGTTATGTGGAAAGTGTTTTACCAGCGTTGGAAGTTTGAAAGCTCATCGTTTCACAGCCCATGGAATCCGAGGTGCTCGAACGTATCCATGCCCAACTTGTGGGAAGGAATATACAGGTGATTTTCCTCAGGTCATGTACAAGGGTCTAATAAACGTACTTATATTATAAATTGAAACGGAGTATGATTCAACTGAAAATCTATTATTCTTGAAATTCTGCCGTGTTTGACATATTTTTGGAATTTTCTTTCAAAAGCCACCTTGGCAGCATTCTGCTCTTCACTTGAAAGAATAGGCGCCCATATAACTTGCAGATGTTTTGGTTTAGCCCAGCTTCTTCTGCAAAATTCTTGAAATTGATGTGAAATGAATTCCAAGGGTTGCCTTCAGGTCTTCCGAAGTAATTCTGCCATTTCCATTAACTGTTGGAAAAAACTTCGGCATGCCGACAATTTGGCGCCAGATTAATTTAAAACGATCGTCTTTTCCGAAAATTTCTAACAGCTTCTGCTGGAGCCTGGGAACCAAACCCGAGTTTGATTCTCAGGCCCAGCAAGGACATCTTCTGAATAGATTTCTTAATCCGCGTCCTTCAGCAACTCCTTTCCTGTTTTCCAAATTCAGCATGATTTTCATCACTCACATTCGAATTGTGAACCTGAGCAGATCTCCGAGCAGAGAAGCTTTTCATCTTGCAAAACTCCAAATTCCGAAATGCTGACCAAGTGTTTGTCGTCAAGAAAAATACAACTCATTAAAACTAGGACTTTGTCCCGGCTGATTCATTGAGTTCTTATTCATAAATTTAACACTTCACTCTCGCGAAAAGAACTTTGATTCATATCTTTAATTCAATCACTCCTTTTTCTGTTTTCACATCCATTCTATATCACATTTTTCAGCTTTGTGAGTTTGTCTGTTCAACATCTCTTTTTCTCACAAAAGTGGTAGCAGAGCGTGGTTACTTTACGCTGCCTCTCTTCTAATCAATCAAAAAAAAAAAAAAAAAAAACTCCAAAATCTTGCTTCGTGNAAAAAAAAAAAAAAAAAAAAAAAAAAAACTCCAAAATCTTGCTGCGTGTATCGTTATTTTATCTTTTCCAAAACTATCTTTGAAACCCAAGCTCCAACGCAAAAAGTGTTTTGAAAAGTGCACAAGTGATCTAAGATTTAGCCTCAATTAGGCATCTCCCACAGGTGATAATCAAAAACCAAAACTATCAACAAAAGGAGAACTACAAAAAGGTGACGTAAGGAAAAGAGGAAAATACCCTCAAAAATCCAAGACAAATCGAAACAAAGAAAAACCATCCGAAAAATGCCACCAAAGGCAATGAAGAAGAAACTGGGAAGGCCTCCCAAAAAGATCATTATTGATCAAAACATTGAGATCAAAACTCAAAGTCAAAACGAAATACATGAAGAAGTTGAAACTCCTATCGAACAAGAGACACCAGGAGGAAGTTTGGCTACCTTAACCACTTCAACATGCACATCTGATTCTTCCTTAAATACACCGCTGTCATCAACTGAAATCATTTCCGAAAACAAAACCAACAATGCTTTTCGTGACTCAACATCGAAACTCTTCCGAATTGTACAACTAATTTGTAAAGGAGACTGGGCAAACGCGGAACCCAAACAAGACCTTAAACTAAAAACCTTTGAAGAAATCATCAAAAACTTTTCTGAAGCTTACGCATTCCTCTCTATGACGCAACTTGATTTTCTTGATCAAGAAGACACAAATGAAATCATGGCTTTGAAAAAGGAAATAACCAACCTTGCTTCGCATACACCGCAATCTTTGTCAAAAGAGTGGAATACTCTCAGGCCAGCGCAAAAAACTATTCTCGATATCAATTTTCTGGAACCCCCAGCCGTAATGGTTAACGCTCCTAAATCCGTTTCACTAAGTGAAAGCTTTGATGATGAGGACAAAGATTCAGACTCAGATACTGAAGAAGGATTTGCTGTAGAAGCAGAAATTAAGACGTACGGTAAAGGACAGTCAATTTTAAAGGGAAAAACTCCTGTACAATACATACAAGACTATCTGAGAATTGAAATGAAGATGTTTCGTAAATTCAAACCTGAACAAGACTTTGACCGAGTTTGGTCATACTACAAACCAATCCATGAGGCACCGATCTATGAGCTGACTCCTGAACAAAGAATTAAACTATACCTAATGCATTTTGATGAAGATGCATTGCAAATGCTGAGGGGGCTAGACAGGAAAACTGAGCTGTCCGATTATTTGGATCTGGTGAGGAAAACGTTCTATGCCTTTGGAAAAGTTCAACAAGTAGTCCAAAGATTTTACTCGCGGTTGGGAAATCTACCAAATCCAGATGGCTCCTATTCCGGGGGGGGGCAGTATACATGAATGATGTCATTGACTTAATTGCTAAACTGACCAATATGAAAGAAAACATACACTCAATCCACAATCGTATTTGGACCCTTGTCAAAAATAATTTAAAAAGGGGAAAACTATACAAAATCTTGAAAACATCAATCAAGAAGAAAAACAAACTCATGTGGAAACAAAATCCCAAGCAAATGTACAGATGGTACTGGAAGAAACTTAATAACAACGCGTCTGACGATGAAGACACTCCTCAATCAAATATTGGGATATATAAAACATCAGCAGAACCCAAAACTGCAGCAGCTAACAAAACTGTCAAAACAACTCCAAGTGCTCAAGTGAAGCCATCATCCGCCCCTCTAGTTCCGAAAATAGTGAAAACAGAAACTGTAGCGCAAATTTGTGAAAAAATGGAAGTTGACACTGAACCTGAAGTTAAAAAGGTCAAGCAAGAAAGAAATGAAACAGGAAATTCTGGGCAGTACAATACATACAATCAAAATATGCAAAACAATCAAGGACAGTTCAGAAATTACAATCAGAATGGACAGAACCATAACAGCTATCAGTGGACAGCGCCAAACTACAGGCAAAACTGATTTCAACAAGTAACTTTCTCAAAGAAGTGCCCATTTTGCGGACATGAACACTACCCAAACCAGTGTCATCAAAATGTAGAGCAACAGGAGAAGAATGCTAAAGCGTACAGCCTCTGTCTGAATTGCTTGCGTCCTGGACATGGAGTTAAAGATTGTCGAAATTTCAAACATTGCTGAAACTGTGGCGGTAAACATCATACGAGTCTGTGCCGAAAACCAACTCAAGGAAATGGGAACCAGGAAAATAATCAGAACCAAGCAAACAATGCAGATTCCCAACAACCAAGCGCTGAAATTCTCAACATTGTCAAGAATCTCCAAAGAGACGTGGCAGAAATGAAAAAGGTACAACTCGTTCAAGCACAGTCAGTTCCCATTCAAAATAACGCGTGACTAGAGCAAATTAACGTAAAGATATCGTTAAAAACTCCATCAAGCTCTTTTATGGAAACAACTCAACTCATAGAAACTAAAACCAAAAAGGAACTATATGCATTACTGGATTCAGGAGCACAGCTCAACCTTATAACTGAAGAGTGTGTTAATAGACTCTTGTTAAAGCGAGAAAGGCACAAGACTGGATTCAAAATAACAGGAGTTAACAAAAATGACCCTGAAGATCTGACGTCAACGTCCTATGTAGATATATGTCTCAAGCCAAGAAAAACCATTGGAATAGACCAAACGTTCAAAATCAAAGCAATGGTAGTACCCTTGGACAAGCCTTGGGCAAGCACCAATCCACAAATCATACCTTGGATCAAAGAATATCAACATCATCTTGCCAACCTGAGAATAGTACATTCTAAACAGGTTCCCTTTGACCTAATACTGGGGGGCAAAGATCTCATACCAATCTTTACATTTGATAAAAGACCAATTATTGCAACAAATCAATTTCAACTTTTACACTCAAATGTTGTACTCATCCCTCGTGGTAGTTGGGATAGCAAAGGAAACAAAACTCAATATACTAACAGAGCAACTGTATTCAATGTCAGAGTGAACAAAAATAGTGTACTGGACTGCGAGCTCAATCAAGAAATCACCAAAAGTCTAAGATTAGATTGAATTGAAATATTTGGAAATACAGACAAAGTTAAGAGCTCAGCTGAAGAAGAATTGTCCAATCATCTGAAGAAAATTGAAAGGGGTCCTGATGGCAGAGTAATAGCGCCTCTTCTTGAATCGTCAACCTTTCTAGAAAACTGGTCTCCCAACCTTATAACAGGAGAACAACAAAGTAGATCAGTCATTAGAACTCTGGAAAAGGGAGACATTTTTGCAAAAGCGTATATAGAGTTTATAGAAGACTGGGAAAGAGATGGAGTAATAACTCCCACATCACTTGATGAGCTGGTACAAAGAGGNCATTTTTGCAAAAGCGTATATAGAGTTTATAGAAGACTGGGAAAGAGATGGAGTAATAACTCCCACATCACTTGATCAGCTGGTACAAAGAGGAACTCCATTTACAGAATTGCCTCATCATGGCGTCAAACGTCCAAATAGTGCAAGTACCCCCTTGAGAGTAGTAATAGCAGGTAACGCTGCAGATCGCGGGAAAGCCTCAACAAAGGATATATTAGACCAAGGACCAGATATCTTGCCCAAACTTACACACATACTGACAAGAATGAGATTTGCAGATTCGTTTGGAGTAGCAGACATAAAAAAGGCATTTGTCCAGGTTCAACTGACCAAAGATGATCAATGGCTCCTAATATTTTGATGGCCAGTAAAACAAGAGGATGGGTCTTATTGACCACAGTTCTTTCGATTCCTTAGACTCCCTTGGGGCATCAACTGTGCACCCTTTATTCTTAACGCAGCCATAAGATACTTGTACAGAATAGCTGAAGATGAAGGAGCAATAACAGCAGCTGAGAGACAGGAACTTGAAGACAATACGTATGTTGACGATATTTTGATAACGGGCAAAACTTTGGAAGAAGTTAAAACAAAACTTGAAAAGGCAACAGATTTACTAAAAAAAGGGACAATTCAATTTGACTAAAATCAGAACCTTTCCAAGTGAAAATCCGGAAATGGACCAATACAAAATTCTTGGACTTTTATACAATCCATCAGATGACTCAGTCTCAGCTTGCGCAGAAACAATATATCTATTAGCAGAAGCCGGTATAATAACAAAAAGAAGAGCAGCAGGCATAATAGCTCGCCTATACGATCCCCTTGGTCTGTTAGCACCCTACAACACCAAACTGAAATTGGAATTCCAGAAATTTAACGCAGAACATCCTAAAGCATCATGGGATTTTGAAATGACAGAAGCTGAATCAGCACTTTGGAAATCACTTATCAAAGAAACCGCAGATGCAACAACTATCCAAATTCCCAGAGCCTTGCGATTTAAAAATGAACTTACGGGAGAATTTCAAGTTTTCTGTGATGCAAGCAAAAATGCTCTTGGTGTAGCAATATACTATTTGTCAAGAAATGAGAAAGAAACTAAGGTAACTCTTGTACTTGGAAAATCAAAACTGGTCCCAATTACACCAAAAAGGGAATCAAAAGTAGACAAAGACAACGCAAAACTTAAACCGGAGACAAAAATAAACCGTCTTGAATTAAC